AGAGGCTTTATTCTCAATAGTCAAAGAGGATCTCAGTGAAGAGAGCACACCAAGAACTGAGATACTGCAATTGCAAACATCATTGTACTTATAGCATTTTGACAGCTATTCAAGACTGCTGTAGGAGCCAACTACAAACTCCAAGCACCCTGAAGGTCCCACTTTGCCCACCCCAAGCATAATGTTAGCAAGATTTGTTGTCTGTTTTTCTTTTAATCTGACAAACAATGTTGGGTCTAGGTTTTAGTAAAATGTGCTATCCAAATGGATTAGAAAACTGGAGGTTTACATTCCAGAATCTGTACAAACACAATTTAGCTTGTTTCAGAATCCAAATTCTGTGGCTTTTAAAAACATACTCCCACTGCTGCAAAAATTAAGCTCATTTACTGTTTCTTTCCTCCCTCTTGTTTCAATTAGATCACATTGCCCTCTGGGAACAATCAAAGCAAATGCACCTCTGCATCTGGAAGCATTTTCTTTCTGATCTAGCATTAGCCGAGAATGTACTTCATTCATTTATCTCCATCCAAAGAAGATAGATTAGAGGTAGACTGAGATAGGATGTATACACACAGATACACATAGATATCTTAGTAAGCATGCATACATGAGAGGCAGAGATACATAGACAGTAGAGGTATGATTTTTTCGCTAGTCCTCATCATATTAAATTTGTTATCATCGCCAGCCATTGCGTTTCTTTTCTTATGGATACCATTACCCAATGGCTTCCCCTCCATCAGTTAAAGTAACAGGGCCCCACTTTTAGCATTAGTGCGTACTTTCCTATGGTCTCAGAACGATTACAATAGAGAAGACATCCAGGTTCTACTGGCAAGGCTTTTGCTTAAAAATATATATCTCTAGGGGGAAAGAGTACTTTTCCACAAGTAAAAGCCAGATGTATGGCCATTGCCAGAATCATGAATGAGACTGCATATAGCCTGCACTGGCTACATGGTTGACTGATCGAGCCAAAAGTGGGGAAAAGAGGTGTGCATGTATGTCTGCGCCTTCAAGTCCTGCCAACTTAAAGCAACTCCATGAATTTGGTAGGGTTTTCTTAGGCAGGGAATACTCAATAAATGGTTTTGCCAGTTTCTTCTTTTGAAATATAAGCCACACAGAATAAAAAGACACAAACAGCTGGGGAAATTATTTGACAAATAGTGTGCAATCCTGACCTCTAGTGGCTCTTCCTTTGATATGCACCTTCTTTAGAAATTAGATTGGTAGCATGTCATGGTCTTAAAATGCACCAGCTGATTTGGGAAGTGGAACAGGGTCAGACCCTGTTAGTACTTGGAGGGGAAACCATCAAGGAATCCTGTAGGACAGAGTTTCTCAAACTGTGCTCCTCCAGATGTTTTGACGATCGTGCCATCACCACTCAAGAAGGGAGCTTTGAACAGCTCTCCGAAGCTCTAGGTGCTCTTTCTGCCTATTAAAGGGAAAACCAGCTGATTCCTAATCCATCTAAAACACAGACATGTGCTTTTCATCTTAAGAACAGATAAGCATCTCGAGCTCTGAGGATTATCTAGGAAGGAATCCAACTGGAGCACTGGAGCACACCCAAATACCTGGGAGTTACCCTGGACCGTTCTCTGACCTACAAAAAGCACTGCCTGAATATCAAGCAAAAAGTGGGCACTAGAAACAATATCATACGAAAGCTGACTGGCACAACCTGGGGATCACAACCAGACACAGTGAAGACATCTGCCCTTGCGCTTTGCTTCTCTACTGCTGAGTATACATGCCCAGTGTGGAACACATCTCACCATGCTAAAACAGTAGATGTGGCTCTTAATGAGACATGCTGCATTATCACGGGGTGCCTGCATCCTAAACCACTGGAGAAATTACACTGTTTAGATAGTATTGCACCACCTGACATCTGCCAGGAAGTAGGAACTAATAGTGAAATGGCAAAGGCAGTGACATATCTGGCCCATCCCCTGTTTGAATATCAGCCAGAACTTCCAACCACTTAAATCAAGAAATAGTTTTCTAAGATTTACAGAGACACTCGCTGGAACACCTCAGCAAGCAAGAGTCCATAAGTGGCAGGCTAAAACCCAGAACCTCAATCAATGGCTGATACCAAATGAAAGACTCCCTCCTGGGCACACAGCAGACTGGGTGACTTTGGAGGCGCTGAACAGACTGCGCTCTGGCACCACGAGATGCAGAACCAACCTTAAGAAATGGGGCTACAAAGTGGAGTCCACAACAATCAAATGTGGAGAAGAGCAAACCACAGACTACCTATTGCAATGCAACCTGAGCCCTGCCACGTGCACAATGGGGGACCTTCTTATAGCAACACCAAAGGCACTCCAAGTGGCCAGCTACTAGTCAAAGTATATTTAATAGAATGCCAAGTTTTCAAACTGTTTGGTCAGCTCCTGATACAATAAATAAAACAAGTACAGTATTAAGAAGCTGTTCAAAAGGAATGGAAAGTGAAGTTAGCAAGAATTTTAAGCAGAATGAAAGCAACATTCTGGGACTAACAATTAACTTTAGATCACAGTGAGCCAACAGAAGTAAACAAAAGATAAAAATAAAAGCTAAAAAGATTGGGGTTTTTTTAAAAAAAGGCTTCCAGGGCGGAAAATGTTTTGAGAATGGGAAGCAGCAATGGTCTCCGAAAACAGGTATTTGAAAAACAAGTATCAAAGCGAAAGCATCACTACTAAAAAGGCAGTAAGGCATCCTTGTCCACCCACGGTCTGGTTCTAGTGTTTTGCTCTCTGCTTTAGGGCTCTCCGAGTCATTGTGATTTGCTGTTTCCATGACAACAAGGGGAGCAAGAAGACAGAGGAAGAGGAATGAAGGAAGCCCAATATGCCACAAGGACCTGATCTTTTCACTCATCCAGTGAAACTCAAAATTAAGGGAAAGAGTGAAAAATTCTTCTCCATGCACAAGTTACCAGGCATAAAAAGAATCTAGGCAGTTGTCTAAAAGAGCACAATGAGGCCTGGGCACATATAGTGAGAGAATTTGGTTCTTAAAATCCAGTGGTCAGGAATTCTGGGAGCTGAAGTTCATAACACCTGGAGGCAAAATAATAATAATAACAACAACAATAATTAATGCAACAGCCAGCATAGTGATCTTGTTTGCTGTGTACTAATCTTGCTGTGTATCAAATAATCATTCTTGCATCCCAAGAACAGGCCATTAGAACCAATGCCATCAACGCCGGAATTGAAAAGTTGACTACAGATGCAAGGAAGCAGACAAAATGATGGATCACATACTCAGCTGCTGCAAGATCGTGTAGACGGACTACAAGCAGAGGCATAGTACTGTTGTTCGAGTGATCCATTGGAACTTGTGCCACAAAAACCATCTGACAAAGAACTGGTGGGATCACAAGCGTGAAAAATTTACAGAAATTGAAGACATCAAACTACTCTGGAACTTCCAAATTCAGACTGATAAGAGTTTTGGAGAACAATACTTCTGACCTCATGATTGTGGAAAAAATACAAAGTATGGATCATCAATGTTGCAATCCCAAGTGACAGCAGAATTGACAAGAAGCAACTGGAAAAACTGACACAATACAAGGATTTAAAGATCGAATTGAAGAGACTCTGGCACAAGCCAGTAAAGGTGGTCCCAGTGGTGATCAGCACACTGGGTGCAGTGCCTAAAGACCTTGGCCTGCATTTAAAAACAATCATCGCCGACAAAATTACCATCGTCAGCTGCAAAAGGCTACCCTCGTCGGATCTGCATGCATTATTCGCCGATACATCACACAGTCCTAGACACTTGGGATGTGACCGACATGATCCAAAAGTATAGTTAGTACAGGGTTAGTCAAAATGAATAGGCCAATAAGAAAATTAATTTTAGACGAATGTATGTTTATTGTAACCAAACTACAGCTACGTAGCGACAGATAAACTATCAAAGTTTTGTCTCACCTTCAGAGATGTTCGATATGGGCGCCCCGTGTGACACGGCAGATGTCCAAGCGATAGTCCAGTTCATTCCACATCCGTTGCAGCACATCCGACGTAATGGCATCGAATGCAGCAACGTCTGGGAAGGTGTTCGTTGAGGTCCTAACCCTATCCCTATCCCTATCCCTAACCCTATCCCTAACCCTAACCCTATCCCTAACCCTATCCCTAACCCTATCCCTAACCCTAACCCTAACCCTATCCCTAACCCTAACCCTATCCCTAACCCTAACCCTAACCCTTGAAATTCTCGCTGGACCGTAATTACTGACATTGTTTTAGCAAATGTCATCACACAAAATGCCTTCTCTTTGCTTGATTCCGCCATTTTGAAAACAGCGACCCCTAGCGACGCCTAGCGGCATTAATGTGTGTTGCTCAAAAAAAACTTTGATAGTTTATCTGTCGCTACGTAGCTGTGGTTTGGTTACAGTAAACATACATTCGTCTAAAATTAATTTTCTTATTGGCCTATTCATTTTGACTAACCCTGTATAATGATCTTGTTTGCTGTGTACTAATCTTGTTAGGTATCAAATAATAATAACAATAACAACAACAACAATAATTCTACCACAGTTTATCTCTCTTAAAGAGATTCAAACCTGAAAAAATAAAATAGGATTAAACAGTGAAAATATTTGTTTAAAAAACAGTTAAACTATTAAAAACAAAAAATGTAGAAACCTCTACTTTAGAGGAAGAAGTTAAATCAGTTAAAACTACCCTTGTCCTTGTTATCAACAGGACACCTCAAAATCCAAACCCCCAATGTTTATTGGCTAGAATTAATGGTTTTTGCTGGATTTAATAGGTATCATATATTAACAGGGCAGTGACTTTTGAAAAGAGACTGAATATATAATCCATTCAATGTCGCACGAGCCACTGATGAGCTACTGGAAGAGGCTTTTCCCCTTCTTGCCCCCACAGAAACAAAACCAGACACACTTCTTCCCAAGATGGCACCTGCTGATAGCTGCATGTTGAAAACAGAAAGTAAAGCAGGCATTTTGTTCCAAACAACGTTTATTAATATATAAATGCATATAGCTTTGAAAATCAAATGTCACACATGATTCAGCAATTAACTGTTTTCCATTCAAGGTGCCTCAAAGTTATTATATAATACTTTGGTTTTCAGAGAATGAAAAAATATGTAAAGTTATTCAAGCGCATATATAAAAAATCATATAACGAAATCATTTACCTCAATAGAAGAAAAAGGGGAGATTTTCTTGTCTCTGTATCCAGCATGAGAAATATTGTAGATAGGTATGGGCATGGAGTGCAAGATTCAAACTCAAAACTTCAGTTTGAGAATATAGTCTCAAGATTGCAAATATTTTTTCCATGATCCTTGCTTGCCCATATTAGCTATCATGGGCTGTTTACAATGTAGGTAGGGGACTGATAGTCATTACTAAACTAAGTTTAACAACAGAATCGGCATTACATGGCTACAAAGTCAAGTCCAATCTGTGCAATATCAAGCTCATTAGTAGCCAGGATTTCCTGAACTTGCTCAATGTCTCCTTCCCACTCATATTAGCTTCAGAAACAAATCATTGAAGGCAGGCATGGGCAAACTTCAATTCCCAGAAATCCCAGCTAGCTTACTGACTGTTAGGAATTGTGGGAGTTTAAGTCCAAAACACCTGGAGGGCTGAAGTTTGCCATGCCTGAACTAAGGACATGGATTTCACCCATTTCAGAAATGCAGTTAAGGAGGGAGAAAACAAAAAAACAAGAGATTTCTCTTGCTTCACAAAGGATTGTATGTTTGTGCATGTTTGTTATTCAAACAGAATCTTTATGATTCTCATTGGTAGGAAACAAAACCTGTCATTTTAGAAAATAAATACAACCGTTTACCCACACCTACGTATGATAGGCAACATTGTAGTACACATTCAATACTTTTTTTTTCTAGGGGACAATCTCTAATCAACAGTTAATAGTTATAGTTGTTGCATAAAGAACAATTGTTATGATTAGCCATGCTCAAGAGAATTCCCAAAGTGTTCTTTTGCTATTCTTAATTCTTTATTATTATTTTTAAGCCTTATGGTGAGGGAAATTGTACTTTTTACTCAAGCAGCAAAACTTCATGTACAACAATGATGCTATATCTCTCTTTTTTTTTTTTTAACCACATGTTTGTGTTTAGGAACTCACCACATCTAGTCTCTTCTGGTTCCTATCTCCAATTCTCCTTCCTTGCTGATATTGAGAATCTCCATAAATTTGAAAAGTCGCTGAAGTGTGCACAATAGGGGAGAAGAAATGTGGTGAGCATGAAAGCCGACTCCTCGTTTCCTCTACCATTCAGATAGAAATGTGGCAGTGCTAGAGGCTGCACCAATTCATAAATCTATTCTCCCCATCAGATGCTGATCTCACCCCTCCCCATTTGGATTATTTCTGCATGAGGTGGCACTTCAGATCCAAGGCAGAATCACTTGCCCCGTCTATCATCTCTGCTCTTGAGTACTGACTCTCTTAAGCCGAAGGTGACGGCGGCTCTTCCTGAGGCCTCAGTTCATCCCCAACTTTGCTGTGCTCAAGTTCAGCAATTACAGACATGTACTTAAATTCTGCTGGCTGGTGGTTGAATGTTTCCACCAACTGGTAGACCTCTTGACGGTCTGTGGCATAAAAAAGCTGCACTTGGCTGGCAAGGCACTGGGCTTCTTGCACACTCTGGAAAATTTCAAATGGAAGAAAACACAATGCACGCTGTTAGAAGATTTAGAGGCCTTTGTCAGTTCTATAACAATCCTATGAGATAGCTTAAAGCACAGCTTCCCAAACATTTCATGTTGGTGACACTCTTTTTAGACATGCATCACTTTAAACACAGTAATTCAGTTTTACTAACAAACCCTTAGAAGAAATACACACAAGCATAAATTGTAGTATGGGGACACAACGTATCTCATGAAAAACGTTCATTTATATATTTTAAAATAAATGATTTGTTATATACATTTCCAAGATTTTTGTCATTTCTTGTTATGTTTGTGTAACACATCTACAAACTGCAGCTGACACACTAACCATGTTGCAATACAGTTTGGAAAGCTCTGGAGTTCAGAAATGGGAGCATGATTCAACTTCAAGAGTCTCCAGAATGTATTTCATAGTTCCCCAATCCAGGTGGAAAATAAAAGGGATCACATGCTTGCAATGGGATGTCAGACAGGTTGCTTGCCCTCATCTCACAGAATTGAGTTATGCACCACTGCAGCACTAGCTCCTCCAACACTTATAATTTCAGAATACAAGAGGGAAATTTCATGACTGAATGCTCTTTTGCTGAAAATGTGGGATGGGGAAGCAGCCATACTTCCCAGAACAGGGAATATTGTCCTCCCCTATAAGTTGCAGATAAAACACCTGGAAACATTGTTCTTCTGAGCATTGCTGGAATCCCAACTTCCCATTAGCCCTAGGCAGCCTGGCCAATTATGAGAAATGATGGAAGCAATAGCTCATACTGAATAAAATGAGATATAAGTTTTAATTCAAGCCTCTCACTTATATTCATTCTGCACTTGATCATATTATGTTGTACACCGACTAGCTCAATTTAATTTTTTCTCTCTGTCTCGTTATGTTACGCATTATATCAGCAAATGTTGTGTTGACTCAATAAAGACATTAATGCAACTCAAGAAATGCATGCGTATATGCTGCAAAAGTTGTCCAGGATTGATGTTCTGGAGCATTCTCAATGTGTAATTAAAATTAGGTCACATAATAAGGGAAAGCCATTTGAATTTACAGAGACATGGTCAGGGGGTTTGTCATGTACCCAGAACCATGAATTGTGCTGAATGGCTCAGTCAACTTCTGCAATCTTTAAGATGGTATGAAAACTTGTGGGGTTTTTTTGTATATAGAGAGGCTTACTGCAAATTCAACAAGCCCAATGCTAATTGGCTCAGAGTCCCTTCCAAGAAAACAAGAACAAAACTAAACAGTAATTTATCTTCCTAATCCATGCTAATACTTGGATCACAATGTTCTTATTAATGCTTAAAATGACAAGCAAGACATCCCACTGGCACATCATGCAACTACGCTTCCTTTGTATTTTTTAATCAATCTTTTCCACTGATACTACCAAGGGGGGGGGGGGGAGGAGCCCCTGATGGAGCAATGGGTTAAACCCTTGTGCCAGCAGGACTGCTGATTGAAAGGTCAGCGCTTCGAATCTGGGGAGCAGGGAGAACTCCCTCTGTAAGCTCCAGCGTCCCGTGGGCAACATCCTTGCAAATGGCCAATTCTCTCACACCAGAAGCAACTTTTAGTTTCTCAAGTCTCTCCAGACATGAAACAAAACTCTGTGTGTGTGTGTGTGTGTGGGGGGGGGGGGGGATATGTTTCTATTTACCAAATGTTTAGAATCCATTTCTGCTGTCATCAGTACAATTCCCTTTTCTTCTTGAAGCTCGGGATAATGATACAAGATCATCTGACTGGGAGCAGCTTCACCCCGTGTCTGCAGCAAACAGAAATAATAATGTGTCCTTCAACAGAAGATCACAAGTCAGAATTTTAATTAATCAACAAGTCATTAGAATGGTTTGGTGAATGAAAAAGCACACATGGGCACCCAATGAAGAAACAAATCATCCTAACATGATAAAATTTGATGGAGCATCAAAATTCCAAAAACATGTAAGTTAAGTTTCAGTATCATACACTGATATACTTTATACTGCAGGACACTATCAAGAAAAACAATACTTATCAGCTAACTACTACTTTGAAAAATCAAATAATAACATATTGCTTAATACACAGAGATATATTGACCATGTGAGGAACATCTTCCCTTTTACCTTTGGATTAAAACAAATTAATGGAGCAAGTCTTGGAAATTATAGTTAATTTAATTTTTTTGCTTCCTACAATGACACCACTACATGCTTTACCAAAAGCTTCATTTGTGTAACAGTGTATAACAGGCAAGATAGGATCACTTGAATTTAACCACTGTTCAATCAGTCTGGATAATAGTCACCATGCTAGATGACATTAAAAGGGGTTAGATATATTAATCAAGGACAAGACTATTAACGCTACTAATCCTGATGGCTATAACTTACCTCCAACATCAGATGTAATATGCCTCTCAGTATCAGTTACTGCAGAAAATGAGCAGAAGATGCTAATGAACCCAAGTTCTACTTCTGGAAACAGAACAGTAGACTAGATAGACTTCACTTTGATCTACCAAAGCTCTTTTTATCCCTATGTTCAGTTTTTCAGAGCATTAATATAGCAATAATAAAGAATAAGGTTGAGGCAAAGACTATTGATGCTTATTGTTTTGGAAAAAAGGCTATCTCACTTGAAACAAGGATGAGCCTCCTTGTAAGGACCAGTTCAATGAATATAACGTTAACCTCTTGGTCTATCTTATCAAACATGTGATGATAAAGGGTTCATAACATAGAAAGCTTTCCCAAAGTAAGTAATACTATTATTTAAATGCACACATACTTAAAATCACATTGATTTTGTACTTGGCTTTGATAATCCATTTCTCTTTTTACCTACCTGAATATTTATCAGAGAAGTGAAATGGAGTTCGGCTCCTGACCACTGACCAACAAAAAACTCATATCCCTCCTTCCTCGGCAGTGCATAAAGAAACTAATGGGAGAGAGACATCAAACTGGCTTATTTAGTCATTACTTATTACTTGTTTTTATAAAAAAATGAAATTTCTGTCTGAGATAGAAAAGCTTAAATTATAAAGACAAATTCTAAGTCTGCCTAACTAAACCAGTCCCAACTTGTTAGTTAGGGCCACTTTTGTGCAACACATTTTGGCCTTTGCTGGACTGCAGAAATGGGAAATACATAGTTCTTCAAGTGTGATTGGATTCCAGTTCCCATCATCCTCACCACTGGTTATGCTGACTAGAACTGGTGAGAGACGTGAAGTGCCATACATTTCCCACCTTGAAAAACATGAACTGAAATGTGGAAAACCTAAGGGTCAGAATTTTTTAAAAAACCCTATCATCTGATCTGAAATCTCACGGCAACTTCTGAAATGCAATGTTTACTGTAAATCTGGTTATTTAAGAGTCTGAGAATTCACTGAATGTGTTCAGTGATTTGAAGCATTTGTATTTTGTTTCCACCCCAAGGAGGTCATGTTAGAGTGGAAAATGGTACCTGTCTTGAGATCTCCAAATGAGCATTCCAGTAAAAAATTAAGTTACAAGATATTTTATGGACTGGTATTTACTCGATTATAATACATCACTAAATAGAACGAGCATGTTAATTTTGAAGTTGTGCACTACAAAAAATGATTCGCTGTTGAATATAATGTAAGGTGGTGGTGACTGTGAAAAGCTTGATTGGAATCTGCACCCTTTCCCAACAGCCTTTCCGCTTTCACCATCAGCTTCCCACCAGCCTTTGCATGGCCACCGCCGCCTCTCCCTTGTCCATTCCCAGCTGGGATCTCTTGCCCAACAGCACAGGAAGGTTTAGGTAGACGATTCTAATGTGCCATTGAATATTGCTTATTATTATTAGAGTCATTAGAGAAATGTGTCCCAATTGTTTTATTTGTATATTTAAATTTTTCATTTGTTATTTTTGAGTTGTTTTATAAGTATACCTTGATGTTTTTTATTTCACTGTCCACGATTTTATGTATTTTGTTATGGGTTGGGGTTTTTTTTTGGGGGGGGGGAGCGGTTGTACTGAATGCTTGCCAATTTTTGTTGGCAAACCACCCCGAGTCCATTTCGGGTGGGATAGAAATAAAGTTTTATTTTTATTATTTACTAGTCGTCTCCTGCCACGCATTGCTGTGGCCCAGTCTGTGTATATGTGTTTTGTGTGTATATATATGTGTGTATATTTGTGTATATGTGTATATTTTTGTTTGCATGTATAATATGTGGTTTTGCGCATGCATTGTAATTTTTGTTTTTGGGCTTTTTAAGTCCCTTTCAGTGTTTTCCAGTGTTTTTATGAGTGATGGTCATTGTTGGCCTGATCAGCGTATTGTGTCCAAATTTGGTGTCAATTCGTCCAGTGGTTTTTGAGTTATGTTAATCTCACAAATGAACATTACATTTTTATTTATATAGATTAATATAATGCACACCTCAATTTTAGCAACAAAAAAAGCCAAAAAAAGGTGAGTGTTACACTTGTGTAAATACAGTATAGTAATTTCAACATGTTGTCTACCACACTTCGTTGGCAACTCAAAAACATTTCCCCCTTATGCCATAGTTACTCTGTTTCCCCTGACATTTGTTTGCTTTACAAGTAAAACACGTAGGCACACATCCCATGGGAGAACGATACTGAATAATACACCACCACCATTCTCTCCTGCTGCTAACATATTCATAAAAATTATGTGAAAGATTATGTTCACAGATCCCCTGCTTTCGCAGAAATCTCAGTGGTAGTTTTCATTAAGCTAGGCAATTGTAAATTTTTCCCACTCCGTCTTGTTCTCTGCCCCATTCCCCAAAACTTATCAATAGAGGCCTGTAAATTGCATGACAAGCTGAAATAATCAAGTGGCAAGTGTCCCAACACAGCAATTGAAAGGAAATAATTGCATCAGACTTTTGGAGAGCAATTCTTTATAGCAATCTCCCATCTGCTAACACAGCACCAAGCTGTCCTTGTAATCAGTTTTTGGATGTCAGCAGGCTATTATTGTGTCTTTGTTAAATGCTGCCTAGCTTCAACACATTTTAACAAATAACATTTATTATCATAGATTTGTAGTTGTTGGAAACATGGTCTGCTCTTTCTCCCAAATTGATCTATGTAACACTTGTACAAGAAAGCCCTCACAACAGTTCCCTAGTGTGCTAATGTATTGAACTAATGTCCTTGTAATGTAAGATTATAAGAACATTTCTTACGATAGCTGTATTCATACCTACTAACTACATTTGAGCCAAAATCTTTCAGGGACAATATAAGCAGCCCCCAACTTATGGTTCTGTAGATTTGTTCAAGGGTTAACACCCCTGTGGTGTTTGTTTTGCTGTCTGTGCCCCTGCTCAGAAGATTTCACCTCAATTTTTTTGTCCCTGTGATAATTGGATTCTGAAAAAATTGACTTGTTGTGGAAACAAGGACTGGTGATAAAGCTTCAGTGGAGACACCTTTTCCACTTGATAACTCTTTCAGGAGTGAATCTCCCTTCCTAGAGGTAGATTTCTCTCACTTCCTGTTGTCTCACCCCCATTCTTAACTATGAGTTTTAACAAGGGGAATGCCTGTAGATCCAAAGCCCCAAAATGTTCACAATAAGCTATCAGTCAGGTTTCTACTAGGAGAGAAGTACAAGAATTAACACAGACACTAAAGTTGTGGTTATAAAAAATCTATTAAGACCATACTTACAGCGGGGCAGTTCTGAATTCGTTTCCACATCAAATCAAAAGTCTTCCCCTTTGATAAGAAACAGGGAATGAATATGTTTGAACAATTCTCACCACTGGAAACACAGGACAGAGTGTTTAAAACATTTCTACTACATATTTCAAATCACTTATGGTGGCTCCAAAAATCAACATGACTACTCTTCTAAAAATCAAACACAAAAATGAATCACGTGATACACCACATTCATAATCAACGTCAACACTACAACAGAAGCAGTTATACACCCCCCCCCCCCAAGAAGGAGTTTTAACTTATGAAATTAAACTAAAATAACACACAACTAATTTGGGTTAAAAAAATCTCAATTCAATTCGGTCATCCTGAAAAGGTTTTCTAAGATTTAATATCAATTCATAAGAACTCAGCTACCAACATTAGCAGAGCTTACACACATGTATGAAAATTCCTATCTGGAAAAATATAACTAGGCATCAGCAGAATAATAGCATGTGTTTAAGGAAACAAAAAGGAACAAGTTTTTTCAGTGACACTCTGTCATTCAGTTCAAAATAAAAGAATCAAAGCAGCTATAGTCAGCACTCCATACCCACAGTTTCAACTATCCAGAGACTGAATGAATGAATGAATGAATATATATATATATATATATATATATAAATAAATAAATTCAAAAATAATATCTTGATTATATAAGAACCACTATTTTCCTATGCCATTGTATGTAATGGGACTTAAGTAACGACACACTTAGGTATTCATGGAGGGAGTGGGGGGTGGTCCTGAAAACAAACTCCAGTGGATTTTTTTTCATGTCAGAAGTGACTTGAGAAACTGCAAGTTGCTTCTAGTGTGAGAGAATTGGCCAGGGGATGCCCAGATGTTTTACCATCCTGTGGGAGGCTTCTCTCATGTCCCTGCATGAGCATTTGGAGCTGACAGATGGGAGCTCTCCGGATTCAAACCATCGACCTTTCAGTCAGCAGTCCTGCCAGCGCAAGGGTTTAACCCATTGCGCCACTGGGGGTCTCCCAACCTCAGTGGATACCAAGGGCCTACTGCTATCTCGGATCATGAGAAACTGTATCATCAGCCATGCATGCTTCCATTCACTTCAACAACTCCTATTGTCAGCTTCATTAAAATGATTAAGGCAAAGAATGATTAAATCTACTTAGCAGACTTTTGTGTTTCAATCACAACAAACTCACACCACTGAGTCTCCATTCCACTTACTGGAATAACAGCATAAACGGTGTCTTCCCCAGAGTAATATTGCTTCCATATCTGGAATAAAGAAATGGCTCCATTTATTTCATATGCCATTGCTGAAAATACAAGGAGCCTCAAATAAGTGCAATCATCATACATTCACAAGATTTTGTCACCTGTTTTATGTCTTCAGGTTTCTTCTGTTTCATCATCTCAACATTAAGTATGGAATCAAGTGTCTGAAACAAATTACACAGGATTCAATTTGAATAGAAACATTCAATAGAAACATGAATGGTGCAGTTGTTTTGAGTGTTGGATTCTGGAGTTATGGGCTCAATTCCTAACTTGATCATGGAAACTCAAGTGGGTGACCTTTGGCAAGTCACACTTCCTCGGACTCAGAGGAAGGCAATGGCAAACCCCCTCTGAAGAGATTTCAACAAAAAAGGTCAACCCATAACAGGTTTGCTTTAAGAGTTATCTCAATCTGGCAATGACTTCAAGGCACATGACAACAAAATGTTATAATATTCCACACCTGATAGAGGAAAAGAAGCAAAACAATGGATCGAACTTGTTTGCCTTCATATATGTGTGAGAGGGATGCTTTTTAAAAAAAGGTTAATAAATAGAGATACAATAATACAAATATACTATGTTCAAAATAATAATACAAATGTACTGATCGCTGAGCATTCCTTATCCAGAATTAATCCTAAATTGAGCACACGGATGACTGAAATAGTGACACTTTTGTTGATGGTTCAATGTACATAAACCTTATTTTATGCACAACATTATTAGAAATATTGTGTATAAAATTACTTTCAGGCTGTATGTATAAGGTGTGTTTGAAACATAAATGAATTTCTAAGACTGGGGTTCCACCTTCAAGAACCTCATAACACTAGAGCAGTGATTCTCAACCTGTGGGTCCCCAGATGTTTTGGCCTTCAACTCCCAGAAATCCTAACAGTTGGTAAACTGGCTTGGATTTCTGGGAGTTGTAGGCCAAAACACCTGGGGACCTACAGGTTGAGAACCACTGCACTAGAAAATGAATCCACTTTAAATTCTGCCTTCTGCAGAATTCTGGGTCTTGTAGTTTAGTGAGGCTGTTAAAGGCTCCTCCCTAAACTACAAACCCCAGAATTCTGCAGGAGGCAGAAACTGGATTTAAAGTGAATTCCTTCTCTAGTGAGATGAGGTGCCTTGATATATTATTATGTATGTATGTATATGCAAAGATAGATATTGCAAATTTTGAAATCCAAATTAACAAGCATTTTGTATAAGGAATACTCAACCGTATCCCCATAAATATAGAAAAGATTGAAGAAAGATAACTCATGTTGGAACAAAAGCACTATATAAATTACTGTATTTCACCAAAACACTTCATTTTTTAAACTTCTGCTTTAGGGAAAAAAGAATTTTCTCTAAAAAATCTTTTAGATTTTTCTTTGCATGTATGATACATACATATACATACATACACATACACACACACACATATATATATCACACACAGAACACCACAAAACCAATGAATTTAAGGCACTACAGAATGTACGGTGTACTCCAGTTTCAAAGCTTCTCAATCAGGGAAAAAGCTACAACCAATGAAATAAGGTATAAAAATACATACAAATTTATGGATAAACAGCAAGTAAATTCAGGTTCCCTTAAAATCCACTTCCATCTTGCACATTAATGGACTACATCAGGGCTCATAACAAATAATAAACCAAACAGGCTAAATACAACTGAAACAAAACAACAGAAAGCAATTCAATGAAAATACCATCTTACCTTGTTTTTTGTGAATCCCTTTTTTGTTTCTTTTCCTTCTTTGGCCTAGAATTAGACAGTAAAAGGTGAGTTTTAAAATTGCTATCTCCTATGTTGTTGTGATGTGTTTGATAACAAAATTGTTAAGCTACTTCGTCCTCAGCCTGAAAGTGAACAGATCAGAGACACACACATACATATCTTGTTAGAAACGATGTTTCTATGCAATCTTCCCTTTCCCACAATTTTACATAATTGAATCAGCTGTAAAACTTGCATTCTGATTTTTAAAATAAATAAGAAATCTCTCTAGAATTGTTATGGTGTACTAGTTATTTTTATTTTTTCTCCAAAATTGTATTCATTACTAATTAATTATTTATTTTTAAGACAGTTCCTTGCTTTTTTTGCTTCCTTGCTGTAGAAAAACAAAAACCCACATAAGGTCTGGAAGTTTTGAATACAGCTGTTCATTTTAAACCTATTGGCTAAAATCAGACATGGGGAATGATAGGCCTCCAGGTGCTTTGGCCTAAAACTCCCATAGCTACTCTGCACTGGCTAGTCCCAACTCCATTATACCCCATGATGGAGGCCCAATCTACATTTGCCATATAGTGCAGTTTAAAACTTTTTTTATGTCACGAGCAACTTGAGAAACTGCAAGTCGCTTCTGGTGTGAGAGAATTGGTCGTCTGCAAGGACATTGTCCAGCGGACGCCCGGATGTTTGATGTTTTACCATCCTTGTGGGAGGCTTCTCTCATGTCCCCGCCTGGAGAGCCAGAGATGACAGAGGGAGATCAACCCGCTCTCCCTGGATTTGAACTGCTGACCTAATGATCAGCAGTCCTGCCGGACATAGGGGTTTAACCCAGTGCACCACCAGGGGCTTCATACCACAATAAAGACTCCACTATACTGACATATAATGCAACTTAAACTGCATTGTATGGACAGTATGGTCTCATAAAATGCACTGCACTATATGACTCTACGCTGACCATATAATGCAATTTCAAACTACACTATATATCAGTATAGGCGGGGTCTTTATTGCGGTATGGTGCTTCATCCCTTATGTAAATCCCATTGATTCAATCAGTCTAAACCAATTTTGACATGCAGTTGGATTTAAGACAATGTTTTTGTTCCAGGTTGGTGTGATTGCTTTCTTGATACTACACAAATAGACCTTTTTGTAGTTAGTTATGCAAACGTATACATAGAATATGAAAACACCAGTGGTTATGACATAATCCCTTGCACTTAACTTCTGAATGTAAGACTTTGATATTCCAGGGGCAATATAGATATCTGTACTAACAGCTTCAAAATTCATATTGAGATAATAGCCTTGTAGTAGGCAAATCCAAAAGTTAGAAAACATTGTGCAAGCTTTTGAATTCTCTAGATCTCCTGTCGGCAAGATGATAAACAAGGTAGGAAACTATGGGGTGAGGGCTGGCAGATATCCAAGGCATGCAAAGTGTATCAGTTTATAGTCTCCAGGCTCTACACACTTCTATCTTAAGACTGTAAACAGATGCCAACTTCATGGTTTGAAATACACACCCCTTTCCCCCCTTGACAAAATGTTCTGGAGAATCTGAAAACTTGTAGACTATTCAATGACTTTTGAACTGCCTTCTAAAAGGTATTGCCTAATACTGATTTTGTTGTTGGGGGTTTTGTTTTTTGTGTGTTTCGTCTTCTAGCCAATAATTCTATCCTCAATTTTTGTGTGACAATGGATAACATTATTAATTATTCCACATCAGTCAGGAGATGAAAAACAATCTATCCAGAACCTAAGACAACTGTGTTGTTGTGTTTGTAAATTAATTATATCTCAAATGCTGTTTAAAAAGTTTTTTTTCTATATGAAACTGTTGGGAGAAATCAGCCAGAAGCATGAGCTAGCTTTCTGTGAATAGGATGATCATATCCAAATAAAACTTCTTTAGGACCAGCATGGTGTAGTGCAAGGGTCATGAAACTTTTAAAGCCAAGGGTCAGTTCTTGGTCCCTCAGACTGTTGGGGACCAGACTATAGTTTGAAAGAAACATGAATGAATTCCTATGCACACTGCATATATATTATTTGTAGTGCAAAAAAAGAGAGGAAAGAACAATACAACATTTAAAACAGAGAACAATTTTAACCAACATAAACCTACCAGTATTTTAGTGGGAAGGATGGGACTGCTTTTGGCCGATGTTGATTAGCACTGTTATTGTTGTGTGTGTTCAAGTGATTTTAGACAGGGTGATCCCAAGTCTAATGTCTTGGGCTGCGGACAGGTAAATGGCCTTGGAGTGCTGTAGTTTGAGGCCCCTGGGCATTGGTATATGACTCCAGAGACCAGGATTTAATTCCCCAGTCTGCAATAAAAATCCCCTGGGTGACTTCAAACAACCCACACTTTCTCAATCTCAGAGGAAAGCAAAGGCAAGCCCTTTATGACCTTGCCACAAAAACAAGGGTCACTTTAGGGTTATCATAAATCTGAAACAACCTGAATGTATACAACAATGGCTTCAAAAGTAGCTGTAGCTAAGGACAGTGTGCCTCCTCTGAATGAATGCTTGGGGGAAAAAATGGATGGATGGGGTGGAAGTGCAGGACTTAAGCTGAATCCCAAAAACCAGAGCTCACTTACTGTCAAGGATCCAAACCTGGGTTTGGCTCTGTGGAAATCAATCCTGAATGGGGTTACACTACCACAAAAGACTCTGTTTACACCTTTAGGGTATTTCTGAATCAATTGCTACAGAGGACAACCCAAACAGATGTGATGGCCAGGAGCATCTACTATCAGCTTAATCTGTTATGCCAACTGCACCCCTTCCTAAAGGTGGAGGATCTGAAATGTGTCTGTGTTGAAACCCCACATTTGCAATATGGCTACCTCTATACCAAGTTCAGAAACATCAAGTAATTCAAGATCTTGCAGACAAGCCGGTTATGGGCACATCTAGAAGTGGTCACATTATAATCAATATAAAAAGCACTCCAATAACTTCTGATTAGTTTTGGGCCTGGCAGGATCACCTTCTCTTGTATAACCCGTCCCTAACATTCAGCTCTCATTGGGGATATTTACCTCAATCAGCCAGGATTGTCACCCTGAGGACTTTTTCTTCAGCCACCCCCACACTATGGGATGACCTGACAGAAGAGATTCAACAGCAGGACACACTGTCTGAATTTAAAATAGCATTAAGCATCAGTCTCTTCCACTAATCTGGTAGGTAATAATTAAATATTAATATTACTAATACTACAGATGATGGAATTCAGCATGGCATTCATGTCTACTTCAATAGATATGTCTACAGAAAAAACAGAGCTGAGAAGTTTAGCAACATCCACATTGAAGAACGATCTGCCTTGACATTATTTTGTAGGGCAGATAGCAAAGTGACAAATACACATTGGGACTGATATGAATATGGAACAATGAGCAATGGATGCCTATGCTCTGAAATGCTCTGAAAGCCCACACAGATAACAGCTAGGGATTGTCGATGAGCATCAGAAAAGCTCATAATGTACCAGGACACTCCTGTTGATACCCTGATACACATCTTTTCAATTCGCTAGAAGGATTCCATAGCTCTCCACTATGTACCTAAGTAAGTGTAAAGTTACATAACATAGATATAGAATCAAGGCTGACATTTTTCCACTACACAAGTGGACATGTATAAAAATAATCAAGCTGGGACATTTAATCAATTGAACTACTTAACATGAGAGAACACTTGTGCCATGTAAACATGTCATATCATATTTCTGAAGCATGGCAGAGTTTGATGAGGCAAACTGGAATACACAAGTAAATACATGCAACCACAAAAAAGAGCATGAAAAGAGCTGCAATCTGGGCTTTACACTATTGAAATATATATGAATATGCACCTGTGCCTTCTGCCCATTGAAAACAGTCAGAACATTTTCTGAACATGTGCCAGCCTTTTCTAACCCAGATTTATTCAAGTTAATTAAATAGAAAACAGGACTGAAAATTGGCCTTGCCTTTTCCTCCATGTATTTGATAAACTCTGCTTGCTTTGAATGTCCAACTGGCTGTTTTTTCACATCATCCCTTTTCTCCATTCGAGATTCAAAAATATCTGGGTTGGATCTGAAAAAAAGTTAAATAGTTCATAGTTAATTAAAAACTACTTTAGTTTTTTTCCTTTCCTCAAATCTCCAAATGGGGTATGGTTTGCTAGAAAAGGCCTTTAACACAGTTTATCTTTACAATGTAAGCAGGTTAGGCAGCTATGAGAGAAATCTGGAAGATAAGGCACATGGCCGAGTAGCACACAGGGGAGGAAAACAACTGCAGAAACACTTCCTTATTTATGGCGCCTTCCAAATGATGCAAAACATGCCCACATGCTAATAACTTCTGAACTCAGGATTAACAGTCATATGTAGAGACAGAGGATGAAACCCTGTTAGTTTCTTACAAGCAAAAGGGGAAAATAAGTATGTAATACCTTGAAGACAAGAAGTTTTATTTGGCATATGTTTTTGTGGATTGTAGCCAACTTAATCAGATGACAATGAAAGCTGCAAAGACCGTATGATATAATGTTTTCACTAAGTCTGAATTCCTGCCCAGATGTGGAAAGAGACTCAGTAACCTAGGGTAAGTCAAACTCTTTCGACCTCAAAGAAAGGCAACAGCAACAACCCTCTGAACAAATCTTGACAAGATTTTTTAAAAAAAACAGAATAAGGTTGCCTTAGGGTCACCAAAATCTGGATCAACTTGGAAAGCACACAACAAAAATAAAAGTTGAACCTTATTTCAATGGTATGATGTGGTCTGAAGGTTGAACTGAGACTCTAGGAATCAGTGTTCAAATCCTTGCCCTTTTTTTTTTCTTTTTCCAATAAGACCAAGGATGTATTTACATCAAAGATCCACAAACTAAGGCTCATAGGCCATATGCTCCAAGGTAATTGCCTGCCCTCCACCCTAAATTTTAGATTTAGGATTGCCCTAAGTCTGAAACAACTTGAAGGCACACAACAACAACAACTGTAATGAACCTGACTCTCTCCTCAGCCAAAAGCAGGCCCTCCCTTCCCATTGAAATGCAGGTAAGCTTATGTTGGTTAAAATTGTTCTTCATTGTAAATATTGTATTATTCTTTCATACATTTTTTGCAATACAATATATGTGTAGCGTGCATAGGAATTTGCTAATGGTTTTTTAAACCATAATCTGCCCCCCCAACAGTCTGAATCCAACCTTTGGCTAAAAAAGTTTCAGGATTCCTGATTTATACTGTAGAGAAGGTATGGGCAAACTTCGGCCTTCCAGGTGTTTTGGACTTCAACTCCCACAATTCCTAACAGCCTACTGGAGTTAAAGTCCAAAAGACCTGGAGAGCCAAGGCTTGCCCATTCCTGCTGTAGAATGAATCCAGTTTGGCACCACTTTTAACTGCCACGACATCATGCTATGGGACCCTGTGAGTTGCAGTGTCACAAGGTCTTCTCTGCCAAAGTGCTGGAAACTCAGCAAACTCCCAGGATTCCATAGCACTGAGCCATGACAGTTCCAAGTAGTGTCAAATTATATTAATCTTACAGGCTGTTAGGAATTGTGGGAGCTGAAGTCCAAAACACCTGGAGGGCCAAAGCTTGCCCATGCCTGCTGTAGGATGAATGCAGTTTGGCACTAGTTTCAACTGCCACGGCACCATGCTATGGGACCCTGAGAGTCGTAGTGTCACAAGGTCTTCTCTGCCTAAGTGCTGGAGCCTCAGCAAACTACCAGGATTCCATAGCACTCAGCTATGACAGTTCCAAGTGGTGTCAAACCAGATTAATGTTACAGACTGTTAGGAATTGCGGAAGTTGAAGTCCAAAACACCTGGAGGGCTGAAGTTTGTCCGTGCCTGTTGTAGAATGAATCCAGTTTGGCACTACTTTCTTTTGCCATGGTGCCAGGCTATGGGACCCTGAAAGTTGTAGTGTCACAAGATCTTCTCTGCCAAGTGTTGGAGCCTAAGCAAACTCCCAGGATTCCATAGCACTGATCCATGATAGTTCCAAGTGGTGTCAAACCAGATTAATGTTACAGGCTGTTAGAAATTGTGGGAGTTGAAGTCCAAAACACCTGGAGGTCCGACGCCTGCTGTAGAATAAATGCAGTTTGGCACTACTTTCAACTGCCATGGTGCCATGCTATGGGACCCTGCGAGTTGTAGTGTCACAAGGTCTTCTCTGCCAAGTGTTGGAGCCTAAGCAAACTCCCAGGATTCCATAGCACTGATCCATGACAGTTCCAAGTGGTGTCAAATTGGATTAATCTTACAGGCTGTTAGGAACTGTGGGGGTCCGAAGTTTGCCCATTCCTGCTGTAGGATGAATGCAGTTTGGCACTACTTTCAACTGCCACGGCACCATACTATGGGACCCTGAGAGTTGTAGTGTCACAAGGTCCTCTCTACCAAAGTGCTGGAGCCTCAGGATTCCATATAACTGAGCCAAGACAGTTCCAAGTGGTGTCAAACCAGATTAAAGTGGGAGTCAAAGTCCAAAACCTCTGGAGGGCCGAAGCTTGCCCCTGCCTGCTGTAGATGCACCCCAAGGACTCCGTGGTTCAACTCCCTGCTCAGCTCTGGAAACGCAATGGGTGCCCTTGGGGGAGTCACGCCTTCTCAGCCTCAACAGGAGGCCATGGCGAACAAATCTGGCCAAGGAAAGGGCTGCAAGGCATGGGGATTGCCAGCCTCTCCCTTGTTTTGGCCCTGTTTTGGAGGGTGGGCCTTTCTGGGCCTGGCGGGCCCCTTCCTCCTCCTCCTCCTCCCTCCCTCCCTCCCTCCCTCCCTTGGCTCACCTGCGCAGGTCCTCGATCTTGCTTTGGTACTTCTCGAAGAAAGGGTTCGCCTCCAGCCCTCCGTCGCTGCCCGCCCCGCGGCTGGAGGAGAGCAGCAGCCAGCGAGGCTGCGGGGGCAGGAGCAGGCCCAGAGGGCGGAGCGGGGTGAGGCGGCTCGCCAGCGCCCCTCGGCTCAGCCCCAGGGCGCCCCACAACTGCGGCAAGTGCCCCGCTGCCATCTCTCCGCGTCCCTGCCGCCCTTTCCCCTCGCTTTCCCCTTCGAGCGCAACATGCAACCCCGCCCCCTCCGCCGCCACCAAGGTTCCGCCCGAAACAACGTTCCGGAGGGGGACGGATTAGGGGGGCGCCCCAGGCTGACTCCTCCTTTGACATTTCACTGTTTTGGAGATTCAGCGCCGTAATGCCTGCACACTGATCTTTTCTATTGTCTGCAACATCTGTTACTTGCTGTAATGTATTTATAGGGTGTCCCCAAAGCCTCCAAACATGGGGAAATTGTAGCTAAATGTACCCCAAATCAGCCAGGAGGATTATTTCAATACACTCTTCTTTTGACAGCAGCATTCTGAAAGTAAAAATATATATAAATATGGCCAGAATCACTGGGTTGAGTGGCTATGAATTTTCCAGGCTGTATGGCCATGTTTCAGAAGCATTCTCTCTTGACATTTCAGCCACATCTATGGCAGGTTGCACAACCCCAGAGGATGCCTGCTATATTTATTATTTACCTCACTGAAGGGGACTCAGGGTGGCCTCACAAAGGCAAAAATCAATGCCGTATACATATATACATATCGGTAAATAAACAACTACATTAAGATCAACCTAATTAAAAACATAAACATTAAAACATCAGTTAAAATCACAAAATGCCATAGATGTGGGTGAAACGTCAGGAGAGAATGCTTCTGGAACATGGCCATACAGCCTGGAAATCTCACAGCAACCCTATATATCATAGAATCAAAGAGTTGGAAGAGACCTCATGGGCCATCCAGTCCAACCCCCTTCCAAGAAGCAGGAATATTGCATTCAAATCACCCCTGACAGATGGCCATCCAGCCTCTGTTTAAAAGCTTCCAAAGAAGGAGCCTCCACCACACTCCGGGGCAGAGAGTTCCACTGCTGAACGGCTCTCACAGTCAGGAAGTTCTTCCTCATGTTCAGATGGAATCTCCTCTCTTGTAGTTTGAAGCCATTGCTCCATTGCGTCCTAGTCTCCAGGGAAGCAGAAAACAAGCTTGCTCCCTCCTCCCTGTGGCTTCCTCTCACATATTTATACATGGCTATCATATCTCCTCTCAGCCTTCTCTTCTTCAGGCTAAACATGCCCAGCTCCTTAAGCCACTCCTCATAGGGCTTGTTCTCCAGACCCTTGATATATGTAGAGAGAGGGGGGGAGGGGATTTATTTATTGCTAATATGGAGACTTTGGGACATCCTGTACTTGTCATGGCCTTTCCTAATAGGCCTTCACCAGGCCCCATCTATATTGCCATTTAATCCAGTTTCTGAATGCCGATTTTCTGCTTTAGACTGGATTGTAGGGTAGACTCATATAATCCAGTTTGAAACAGATAATCTGCATTCAGAAATTGGATGATATGCTCAGTGTACACGGGGTCGCAGATTATAAGAACGTGTACATGGCCCCAGTTGGATTGGCTAGAGTAGAAACCCTGCTCATTCCCATTCAAGTTTTATTATACAGGGTGTCCCCAAAAGTCATCATATATAGGGAAAATGGGAAGTTGTTGTTAAATATACCTTTATTTACAAGATATTTATTACAAAATATGGATAAAATATTCCCTGTTGTGTTATAAATCTGAAAATATAACATATGTAATGTAAGCATTTGTTAATTTTTCCTATGTATTTAACTTTTGAGACACCCTGTATTATTTTCTGCAAACGCTTCTTCAAGCTTCAAGCTGGTGTTTTTTCAGACCTCGTTCATCCACCTAACTTCAAGCAGAACAGAAGATAAGTGGCTGCAGAGATGTAAAAAGATTTTCAAAAAAGAAGCCTCTTTATTTGTTAATTGAGGTATGTTTGTAGCTGTATTAATAGGCAGTAAGTCATTGAAGCCTGCTTTGAAAGAGAAGACTATTTCATAGACTATGGTCTGGGGAGTTTGTTTGCCACTTCCAGTTAGATTCCATGTGGGGTGGGCAGGAGGAGGATGCTCTGAGTCCAATGAAGTTTAAAAAACCTGATAATTTAAAGACTAACAGGAACAAGCAAGTGCTGGCTGAAAAGGCTTCTTCTGCCCTGATCCATCCTTGTATGCAAGAGATTGCAATCCATGATGATGGCCTTAGATTGAAAAAAGCAGAATGTCTTCTCCAGCTCTTCAGAGAGGTAGCCTAGCAGCCATTATCTCATTGTAAGCTTTAGAATGATCACCTCTTTGTCATTCTGTTCCGATGATGCTAACCTGAACCACCTGCTCTTTCAGTTTAGTTTCCCTTCTCTTAGGACAGGAGAGAAAGGTGGCCTAACCTATGAACATACTAATTTGACTCCGAAGACTTTGAGTGAGACCAGATGATGATTATATCCAGTGGTAAGTGGCACAGTCCCACTCAAACCTACAAGCAAGTTTGTCATCAGAAGGGTTTATAGAGGTCAGGAATAAGTGCATCACCCTCCAGATGTTTGCAAGATTGTTGTTTCTCTTCCCAAACCAATGTGACCAAAATATTGGGCGAAAGTGTCAGTGTCATATAAAGACTAGCAGAGATCTTAATGTGAGATGCGCAAAATGAACTTTCTGAACACAGACTATAGTTGCCATCACTGGCTATATGTACCAGGGTTGCTGTTAGTTGTGGTCTGATATCTGGAGTCTGTATTTTGCCAGCTCCTGCCCTAAACTGTGTAATGCTTATGCAACCACAAAGTAATACCAGAAAATGTGGATTATTCTAGCAGGCTGTGAGTTTTTCTTTCTTTTCAGTAGGTTATTCATAATATGAGCACTAAGCTATAGTTGACATTGGTTCTGCAAAAATCTAAATGGCAATGCATTGGCAACCCCATTTTATATTGGTGCTCTTAACTATAGTCTAGCTATTTGGGGTTTTGCTTCCCAGAATGCTGTTCATTAGGGAATCTGTAGTTCAAAAGACGGGATAGTCCAAAGTTTAATAACCAGTACTTTGATAATACAAGCAGAAACACGAACACTATAGCTGTTATAGACTGTGTGAAAAAGCCTGGTACATGTACCTTTGGAATCTTCTAGTCCCTGTTTTTCAGGAATTCAAAGGGTTGCAGTAGCATGGGAAATAAATTGTCTCCTGTTTTCACCAAATCCTATTGCCTAGGTTTAGATAGTGCCCAAACATGAGAAGGCCCAAGCCGGGGTGGGAGTGGGGCTTGACTTGCTTGATAAATACACATAAATACAAAAACAACATCTCTTCCAAGTTAAAATGTTATCAAGCCATTTACGCAAAACACTAGATACTAGAACAATGCATTAGAACTTTCTAAAAATTACATATTTAAAGCATTTAATTGTCTGCCCTTATATGTAGGACTGCTACCTGCCTATTTTGGAAGTCTAGGATTTTGTTACTTCCTGGTATTTGGTTGCATGCTATTCTTTCAATGGAGAAAACGAATCCATCAGAAACGACGTGCAAAAGCCTGGGTGAAGCAGCTGAAAGCGGAAACATATTTCCAGCGCGCATTGTCTCACAAAATGGATAAGGAAGCCCTGCCTGGACCTGAAGCGCAATCCCACAATCCTTCATCTCATACCATCCCAAAGCCACATGGCAACAACTTGTCCAGTGAGGCCACTACAGATAGCAGTGGCCCTTCCACCTCATCCCGTCCAGATTCAGACTCCTACAAACCAGTGTTTCAGGAAGTACCTTGTGCTTGTGCACTTCCTTACTTGCCACCCCTCCTGGAACATTCAGCATCTTTCCCCTGCTCCAGTATTCCAGTCAGTAGCACCGCATTTAGTTCGCCCTTGAAATCAGCTGCACTGAAAAATGAGTCATACAATACTGGTAGCAGCATCTCTGTCTAAGAGCAAATTTATTGGATGGATGAAGATGAGATTTGGGAATGTTTTTTCTCTGCTTAACTGTGCACCATATGAGTTATATATTTTAAAAAAATTAAAATGTTAAGTCAACTTATTGCAAGACAGAGAAAGAGCAATATTTTCATTTATGTACAAACAACATTCGACCAATAAAAATCAATTCTGAATTTTAAAAGTAACATCTACATCCCAAACAGTGTTTTATTTAAATTTGACATTCACAATGCATGATAGGTGCAAAGCATTGATATATACAATGTACAACTAAAGAGTTTTTTGCTCCTTATGACAAATTATCACAGGTCAAAACTAAAAATCATTGCAAATAATATTATTATTTTTTTGAAGTTCATAAATCCTGACAGTGTATTCTTGTGCCAAGGAGCTGGAGTTTGATATAACTGTAGTGCAGCTTCTTTTTGGACAACTAAAGAAGTTGCAGCTCTTGTTCTCAAGGTTATGCAAACTTGACTTCTGTACATGTCTCCCTACAGAGAAAGATCCCTGTACAGTTTACTCAATATTTTTAAATGTAACTAATATTTTCAAGCAACATCTTAAAGCTCTTTCTTTAGGATTTTGTTCTCTAGCAGTGCCATTGTTCACAATAGGGAAAATCAACATTTTTGACCTCTTAGTTTTCTAATTATTCAATCTTTTGATACAATAACCTTGTAGAAACCTGTATTCAAGCCTCTTGTTTTGTTTTCTGTTTTCATTTGTGTTACCACCAGAGATAACAAGCAAACTCCATTGTTACGCTGTTGTCTCCTTGCCAATTCTCGGCAAATACACTATCAACCTTGCAGGGAAATCTTCAATTGTGAATGATAAGAACAACTTTGGTTTTCATAGACTGTCATTTTAATTGGAATCATTGTAATAGTATTAACAGAAAAATTTCAAAATCAACACAAAGTCATCTAGTACAGTAGTGGTGAAGGGTATACTTTAATTCACTGATATCTGAACAGAAATAGCTAAAAAATAACTCCCTTTATATTTTACACCATCCTTCCACAATCTGTTACCTTCCATATGTTTCAAACTACAACCTTAGATAGGGATGTCAGGATGGATGTGACATCTTGGCCAAAACATCAGCAGGGCATGAGGCTGGGGAATGTCAGCTTCACATGTTTTCTCCTATCACAGAACACCATATCACAATGTTGGTGACATGAGATGAATTCTCTCTTATTCTCTCATTACGCCCTTCCCAATCCTGTACCAATGGACAGTGTGTGAACAGTTTGGTGCCAATTAACCCCTAACTATAGTGTAAGCGTGTTACAAAGCATTCAGGTTTGGAAATGCAAAGCTTAACCTGAACTTATTCTGATTTTGCCTCTCTTCATGTGTTTTTGAGGGATTTGTAGACCAAAGCATGAGTAGGGCACACACTAAAAGTTAGCATGTGGACTTGATCTCAATTGGGAATATTGGGTGGGAAAGTTGAAACCAAGAAAAAGTTGGTGTCCCCCCTCCCAAGATGTTATTGGATTGCAAATCCTAGCTAATGGGGCAGAATCATGAGAGCAACAGCCTCCTGGTACACTCTCCCATCACCCTACCATGACAGAGTGTTTAAGAAAAAACAACTTCTTATTGGCAGATGCTCATACTAACTGAGAAGAGGAAGATTTCCGATTGATTTCTGATTATTTATGGGAGAAAGGTATAGTGGATTTGTTACAAAATATATTTCAAAATTTCATTTATTTTATAAAATACAAAAGCTCATTGATAATCTGGAAGCTGTCACCCAGAATGCATGATTCAGGCTGTCACGGGTCCTTGGCTGTTCCTGGAAAGGTATGCACGCTCTGCCAGAAACTCGTGAAAGGGGCACATAGAGCAACCTAGCAAGGCACATCCCATAAGAACAGAAACCAAACAATCACATCCTTGTCAATAACACAAATTTGTCATTATTATTTATTATAAGGCTGATTATCAGAAAGCTAGAGTTACAAAAGACATATTGCTAGAGTGGTATAGGGGTTCTCTTATGATTTGGTCCCACACTATTACAGTGACTTTTGCAAACATGATTCTCAGGGATCTGCTAAATTATTTTATTATATTACTCATATGTAAAACTCATCCAAAGAACAGGGAAAAGCTAATATTAGAAGAAATCATGTCACTCACGAGTCCTCTTTGAAACAGTACATTTTGAAGACTACCACTTCAGTGAGTGATCAACTAAATTAGCAAACAATGCACAAATATCTATAGTAACATAGAAACAAGAATGTATGTATGTGTATTTTATAAGACTCTCAAGAAAGTAATATAAATCAGGATTATATGCTCTCTAATGGAGTAAATTGTCTGAAACTTTATAGCATTTAACAGGAATGTTATCAGCACATTATAAGTAAATATAGATTATCTTGTCAACATAGAGAAATAAACAGTAGACTAAGATAATAAAGTCCATCCTTTCCTGGAGTCGGATTTCAGTGAAGGAATTCAAAAGTCTCTGTCTTTATCCTCAAAAGAATTCTTCTTTTGGCAACACAGTCTTAAGGAGTACTTCTTAGGCAACAGAGTCTTCCTTAGGTAACACAATTTCTACAAGGTCTCCCGGTCTCTTTTGAGGATAAAGACAGAGACTTTTGAATTCCTTCACTGAAATCCGACTCCAGGAAAGGATGGACTTTATTATCCTTAGTCTACTGTTTATTTCTCTGTGTTGACAAGATAATCTATATTTACTTATAATGTGCTGATAACATTCCTGTTAAATGCTATAAAGTTTCAGACAATTTACTCCATTAGAGAGCATATAATCCTGATTTATATTACTTTCTTGAGAGTCTTATAAAATACACATACATACATTCTTGTTTCTATGATCAACTAAATTAGCCAGATGGGTCAGACTGTTTGCATATGATTTTTATATTATAGTAGAAGTATACCTCGAAGGAAATAAAAAAGAGTAATTGAGTTAACAGTGGAGTTAGATTACAAGTGAACCTTCTACAAATATCTTCAAATTTTTGGCATACAATCATTACAGTGGTACAAATAAATACTAATATTTGTATTGCTTTATTTGGTAAAATTTTAGACAAAGTATATGAAAGTGATGTTTGTCTGAGAGAATACTTGTTCTCTTAACTAATGGGCAAAGCTTTGGGTTGGAAGGGAAGATCAACAACAACAATGAAACAATGTATTGTTGAATGCTCAGACCTCACAACCTCTGAGGATGCCTGCCATAAATGCAGGCGAAACATCAGGAAAAAAATGCTTCTGGAGCATTGCCATACAGCCTGAAAAACTTACAGCAACCCATAATGAAACAATCTATGAAGGGAATGATACTTCAAGACTCTTCTTTAGAATATCAAGACTTTTGTTCTTTCTACAGCAAGGTAACATTTTGCAATGTATATCATACTAGGTCTTCTGGTTTATTAGTATTCTGACAGCGACCACCATAATTGTCAACAACAAACATATTCAAATTACTCGAAAGTCAACCTTTTGCTGTAGACTGTCACTTTGCTGAGAATTAAATCTCCTAATCGCTGTGAAAAATTTGTGTGCCCTTGCAATATATTCTTGAAAGCATTGGTGTAACTTGGTATTCTGTCTCACAATAGAATATTTGCTTGGATTTCTTCTCTACTCGGTATCTAGAGAACAAGAAACTTTGACATTTACTTTAAAAATGTCTTATCCTTCATCTATACCTATTTATTTTTCCTTTGACAAAAACACAGTATCTTAAAAGTGTCAAGAACACAAAGTTTACAACAGAAAGGGGGCTATCTAGGAAGTGAAACTACATATTACATTCAATGCCTCTTAAAATTTCATGTGTTTTAAAAACAGGAATTAAAGGGCCTGCAATCCAGACTAAGGCCCCATCTACACCGCCATATAAAATCTAGATTATTTGCTTTGAACTGGATTATATGGCAATGTAGACTCATACAATCCCGTTCAAAGCAGATAATGTGGATTATCTGCTTTAATAACCTGGATTATATGGCAGTGTAGAAAGGGCCTGAGGCAGCAATGCACAAGTTGTGAGGTTAAATATGGTTTCCTTATCTGTGCTGGGGACCCAATGCAAGTCCCCTCACCAAAGTACTTGTTCTGAGAGAAACTGGGGAAGGCATTTTCATTAGAACTGTGTTTCAGTCCAAGTCTGGATCAGGGTTCGCTACCTCATAACTACCACAGACACACACACGATGCAAATACAAAGATGCACTTATTATAAGATCTAATTCAAATAACCTCATCTTGCTGACACAAACAAAAAGCCCAAGACTTACAGTTATTACAGTGACCATCAGCAACACTTTTAATTACATGAGATGCAAATTAAGGTGAAGACAGTTTTTTAAAAGTCAGCCAAAATAAAGGGATTGAATACTTAGTTGTCCAGTATTTCAAGTAACTATCCGTCACTTTAGGGTTGGTAGTACCAAACATAATTTCTACTCAATTTCAAAGCAAAAGGAAATTAAAAATAATTCCACTATATTGTTCTGAGTAGTAAATAAATTTCTTTTTTGTGTGTGTCAAACTCTTAAGAAAAGTAGCCTTCTTTAACAACCTAGTGTAAAGGTTCAGATTTTGACTTATCTGAAAGCTAGCCATACATTTCCAGGCAACTGTGGGGAAAGTGTCCTAAAATATAATTCCTAGTGGAAAGGTATGTGCTCCCAGTCTTCAACATTCATACAATACAGACTGGAATTTTTATTACCCTCAATACAAAGTCAACCCAGATGTGTGTGATTTATGCTGTTTTAAATATTTACAAGCAGACAAATCCTATCCCACACCATCAGATTCTTTTATGTTTTTATTCTAAAGTGCAGCTAATTTAAGGCAAATCTGAAATATAAAATAAGTTTGTCAATATTTACACACATATTCTAATCTGAAGACAAGACCTTCCCTTATAAGGGAAATAAAACTTTCAGCTAAAATTCTTAGCATAGTTTAAGGTGCAATTACTGTATAGCTAATTCAATGCAATGAATATAGTTATTCAATGCAATAATTATCCCCCTATAGGTTTTCAATACAATGCCAGGATGTCAAACTTTGGCCCGGACCAAGAGAAATCAAATGCTCCAATGTCCTT